TCGTCTTTCACGGCATCAACCTGCAGCTGGTCCTGCCCCAGGCCCTGGAAGCCCTGAGGAGTCCTCCGCGGGGAGGGGGGGGGGGGGGGGGGGGGGCGTTACGTAGTGTCGGGTTGGTATTCCCGAAGCGCGGCCGTGGCGTTGCTCTGCCTTGTGGCTGCCTGCGGAGTTGGCGTAGTGGCCGCAGTTGGCGTAGCGCTAGCAGAGGCGGCTGTGGCGGGGAGCAGCGGTGGCTGTGGCGGCTGTGTGAGGAGAGGGCAGGAAGGTGCGAGCAGGGACCGGACCGGGCTGGAACCGGGCCGCAGGTCAGCGGAGGGGACCGGGGAAGCGGGCTAAAGACCTTCCGTCGGTCAGCTGGTGATTAAGGGCCCGGGAGGGGTGCTGAGACCTGGCTGCAGCTCGGTGCATGGGCTGGGAGAGGGGGGGCTGAGACCTAGCTGCAGCTCAGTGCACGGTTGGCGGGGCCAGGGCTGGGCTGCGTGGTCCCTGGGGCTGGGAGAGGGGCTGAGACCTGGCTTGCAGTTCACTCTGTGGTTCACGGGGCTGGGAGGCAGGCTGAGACCCGGCCACCATTCAGTGCACGGCTCAGAAAGCAAGCTGAGACCTGACCGCAGCTTAGTGTATGCCCAGGGGTGGCAGGGGACAGGCTGTGACCTCGCTGCAGCCCAGTGGGTGGTCCACGGGTGGCCCAGAGGTGGGCTGAGACCTGGCTGCAGCTCGATGCACGGTCCAGGGGGCTGGAAGGCTGGCTGAGACCTGGCTGCAGCTCGGTGCAGTGGCAGGTATGGCTCGTGCAGGGGGGCCGGTGGTGCAGGGCAGTCACCGATCTGCCCCCTCACTCTGTTCCGAGGTGGCCACAAGAGAGTGATGCCTCTGCGGAGGTGCCCAAGCCCTGGCACAGTGGGCAGAGCCGGCTGGATTCCCCCATGGCTGCGGGAGAGGGGCTTCAACCACACACCCGTGCAGGCGGCAGGAGCTTTCCCTGCCTTGGTTTGCCATCGTTAATTCTTAGTATCGGCGAGGATTGTTTACTGCCCAGCATTCATAACCTCGTCCCTTTTAGATGCTAATCTCAGGTCTCCCTGGTTTAGGAGGTGTTGTATAAACGTGTAATGAAATGACCCTCTCCAGCCCCAAAAATGAGCTCCGTGGGGCTGGGTTTGGTGTGGACCTGGTGGTGGGGGAAGGCAGCGTATTTGGTGGGCCTGGGCTGTCGGACAGCCAGATGACCTGATTTGGTTGTTGCGCTGTGTAATCTGGAGCAGACAGCTTTTTTCTTTTTTTTTTTTCTTTTTTTTTTTCCTTTCCCTTCTGTGCTGCTTTCTCCATTTATAAGATACAGGTGCTAACACTTAGGGCTGGTCGGAAAAACAGAAAAGAAACAGATTTTTGCATTTCTGGAGAAGGCTTTGCTTATTCTTGTCAGACTGTGTGTTAGATGGCTCTTGGTCTGTAAACTGCTTCTAAAGATGATGGGTAAAAATAGAGCAGATTTTTATTAGCTGCTTTGCAAAACAGAAATTACGAGGGGGATGACAACAGTGAAGCTTGCTCTAGGCAAAAAGGGGAGAGAGGATGTTGGGGCCAGGCTAATTGGGGCCATACCTCTTAAGACTGGTATGAGTCTGGACTGAATATTACCCATCCAAACAGGTTTTAGAGGAGGAGGAGGGGCCCAAGACTGTCTGGGACTAATTTACTCATTTCCCTCCCAAAGGCTGACCCAAAGACCTGTATCAAGGAATTGCACAAGAGGAGGAGATAGAAACTGGAAGCTCTCTGAATGTGCTGCCTGCAGACTTACAGCTTCTTCGGAGACTCAAGATGACCGCCCAGGAGAGATGCTTTCTGGAGGGGTTGTGCTGAAGACGGAGCACTGCAACCTCTAACTGGGACAGCTCCTGCTGGTCTGGAGCTGAGACCGACTTCCCTCCCTCCCTTTTCCCTTGGAGATGTTGCAGAGATTTAACCTGACCTCTTCCTCCTCACCTGAAGCCTGCCGTGGCGATGATCCCGCAGCCAGATCCGACCACCAAAGAGAAGAGAATTGTGCGTTTGAAGCTGGGCCGTCGTTGTAACTGAACTGGAATTTACTCCCTGCTTGCGCTCCTGGGACGAGTGCCGTTCCTCTGCTTGTCTGTGTGTGTTTTGAGCTGCTCCTCCCTGATCTTGTTTGGAATTCCTGGGCTTTCCACGCTGAATTTGCCCATGGCTTTCCTGATGAAGAAGAAGAAATTCAAGTTTCAGACAAGTTTCACTCTGGAAGAGCTGACTGCTGTCCCCTTTGTGAATGGGGTTCTGTTCTGCAAAATCAGGCTGCTGGATGGAGGAGACTTTGCTAGCTTATCTACCAGGTAAGAAGCTGCTTGCAGACTTGCTTCCTGGCTCTGCGTTTTTTCCCTGGTTATTCTTCACTTGAGCGCTTCAGCATATGGCTACCACTTGCTTACCCCTTGATGGGATTTTAATAGTTCTGTTGTAGGGCCCCGCATGCCACATCATGCTCTGGAGCAGGGGAAGAATGTAGAGAGAGAGAGCTCTGAACCTGGGTGGTGTTGGCTGATCAGAGCTGGTTTGAATTTTTCAGAGATGTGGGGAGGGAGCGGGAGGTCACTGGCCTGAAAAAAGACCGGGGTTTGTGGATTAAATCCTTTTTTTCTTTTTTTTTTTTTTTATTCCCCCACCTAGTCCAAGTTCTCACACATTATTTCAGACCCCATGCTATGTTGCTTTCATGCCTGACTTGAAAGTCAACTCTGTAGAAAACTGTATCTAAGCAAATCAACAATTCCCAACTTTGCTTTCTCCGTGTTTGCTTCGGAGTTACTGCTCTTGGTAAGAGTGGAAGTAGCTTGCTTTGCATTGCAAATTGCTGTGCAAGGGAAAACTGCTGCCTGGAGTCAAAGTTGTCGGTGTTGAAGACAGAGTTTATCTCCTTGAACTAATACCATTCCATCTCCAAGTTTACAGCTGCAGTATTTTTTTTTAATGCCGTCCCTCGTATTGGGATCGTTCTGATGCACATCTTATAAGGTTGTTCTACCATCATCTATAGGCATTTCTCTGACTCCTTTAGGCAGGTCTGTCCCCACTCCTGCTACTAATTGCTAATAAAAACTTGCTTTGTTTCCAACTATGCACATAGATTATCACCAGCAGTATGCAAACACAAATTCCATAACAGCCCGGACTTGCTTGCTTTCTGCCTCAAGATGTGAAGGAAGCCTTCAGAACTTGTTTTTTTTGCTTTACTGAGTGACTGCTCAGTTTTAAAGGCACGGGATTAGTTTGTGCTAGCTGTTAACTGCACACTGAGCTTTCTCATCTCAGGAGAGAAGATTTTATTGGCCAAGCGTAAAATATTTCTGTCTTGCAAATAGGAGTGGTAGAGTGCTGCTCAAAGCTTGGTTTTTCCTTCCAGAGGCATAGTGCAACCTCATCTGAAGTCTATAGAAGCCATGGGCGTGGAACACCTCCAAAAATGGACTTCGAATTAATTTCTCTTTTGAAGAAAATCTATCAAAAGAGCTTTTCCTTACAGTGTTCTCCCCTGAGGCTAGATCCTTGGGTTTGGTGGAAGCAGCTTATCTAAGGAATTCAAACAGTATGTGAACTTGGAAAGAAATTAACCCCTCTGCTTCCTGGAGTCATAATAAAATGAGTTGAACTGGAGGGTGTCTCAGGAAAAGCCTGTGCTGAGAAATGTCAATCTCCCTCTTCTTTTTGTCCCTGAAAGCAGCTTCGAGGAGCCGTCGCCGGGGTTTGCAGATGCTGCCAGCCATTTGGGTTGCATTGGGCTGTTTCTGTGCTGGCTGGGGTTCAGCAGTTCGCTCAGCACGGTGCGTTGCAGATGTGTTCCAGCAGCAAAATCATCTGTAATTTAAACCAAACACATAACATTACCCTCAACCGGCTTGATTGCTTGTAAATGAGCAAAGGGGAAGTAGGCTGTTGGGTTTGCCGCCTTTCCCCTAACCTGTCTGTACTCTAACTGAAAGCACATGGAAACCTGTTCCTGCTTGAAAAGTTACAGGTCTCGGTGGTATTGAGTCATTTGACCTTTTCCAAATATTTTCCCCTGTTACAGTTAGAGAAACTTCAGGAGGGCTGAATTTCCAGGAACGGTGAGAAGAGTTACAGTGAGGAGAGGCTCCCAGATCATACCTTGGCTCCGCTCTGCGCTCCTCTAGCATTTCCATGACCTTTCTGATACTCTTTGGATCTGGGGAAGGATTAAAGGGAAGGAGATGCTGTGTCTGTGTTGTGTTAGAAGTCTGTACGTTATTTAGGATCTGTGATTGTTTCTCTGAAATCAACCACTTTGAAAAACAGTTGCGTTTGGGGTTGTAACGTCTGTCAGGTCATTTCATGTGAGGTGCTTGTGTAAAAGTCTGGTGTTTGCTCTGCAATCGATTTGGGCTTCTTCTGCTGTCTGTGGCAATAGAAGATATGCAGCTTTGATTGAGCAGACCAGTAGCTCTTTCTGCCTGTGAGTTTTCCAAGAATTGATCTGAACAAGGTGTCCCATGTCATTTGGGGTCTGTAAACAGAGCTGGGGGGAGAAGCAGGTATAGGAACCCTTCATAGGACATACTGGATCAGTTTTCTTAAACAAGGATTCTTAAGGATTAAGTGACCTATGATGTGGAAAGAAGAGTGTTGTTTGAGAATATAAGAATCTCCAGAGACAGATTTTTCAGGTTATTTACAATAGACTTACTTGGCAGCTTGTGCACGTCTGCAGCGAGAAGTGGGGATATGATATATCCAATTAATTGCTCGGTGGCACTGGACTCATTTGACCTGTGAGCAGAGCAGAACCGGGAGGCTGTACTGCTGGCTCCCATCAGTCTGTCCCGGTCCCAAGTCCATCCTGGATTTCAGGTCCCTGCTGCAGCCCTTTGCCATGGGTCTGGGGGGGCACCCCCCAAGCTGAGAGCTGCTCTCACCTCCTCTGCTCGGGCTGGGGCAAAGCAGCCTGACTGGAGGGGAACCTGTCTGAAATGCTTTAAGACTTAACACTCATAGGAATTCAAGGCACTCTGGAAAAGGTCCAGGTCCTGTCAGCACATTTGGCTTTGGGGGTCTGCCTCTCTGGGGTTTTCTGATTTGTTGGGGTTTTTTTCTTGCAAGCAGGTACCCTTTTTCCACACTTGCTGTGCTCAGGCCTTTCATTCAGCCATGGGTATTTTAGTGACTAAATTTACAGCTGTAAATATGTTTTTGCTTGTCCTTTCCCCTCCCTTTGCAAAGTCTCCTTACGCTCTGACCAGCCTTCTGAGGATAAGACTCACTGGTCTCAGTTTACAGTGCTCTGCGTGAAAAGCACCTATTGTCTGTGAGTTTATCGTCCTCCTGTTGGATTACAGAAGTTGGTCTTCTGAAAATGCATCTCAGGCAGGTGCTCTGTTTCCCCATGGAGAAGTACCGGTGTATTCCTTGAATAGTATTAATCCAGATACTTAAATAGCACAACCGCCTGTGAATTCAGTCGCCTCCCAAGTATCTTTAAAAATAGCAGGCACAGAGCGGTAGGGATGTATTCATGGCAACCAGTTTTGTGAAGCAGATGGGCTGCTGCGTTTTGTACCAGTTTGAAGCTTTTTTGGGGGGGTGTGCGTCTTTGTTCCTAGAGAGATGATACGATATAAGCTCATCAGGAGGCTTTGGATCCATGGATCTGCATAAGCAAGAGCCTGGATGTCTAAATGGGTGCCTAAAGCTACAGGCTGATGTAGTTCGTACGTGTACATCTTTGGGTATCGTAAAAGAGGAAGACTTGATTAAATTCCACCACCCCTCTCCGCCAACAGTGTCAGTTAATGTTGAGTGACAGCCAGATGCTCTTTACCTCGGCGCTGATTGATTCCTGGCAGTGTGCTGGCAGCCAGCGTTGCCGGTGCACGATGTGAAGGAAGTGGAAAGCCAGGTGTTATCCACAGACTCCCAACACTTCATCCTGCCTTGTTCTGTGAGCACGCCAACAGTTTTCACTCTGGTATTTCTGGATTTGAAGGAAGGGATTGTACTCTGAAAGCCCCTGGCTGACTCTAGGGGAAAGACTGTTTTGCATGAGTTGAGCAACTTTTGAGGGCATTTCCCACCTTCCCCGTTGTCTTCTAAAGGCACCTCAGACTGTATTCCCTGTGGGACCATGGTTTTTCCAAGCACATGGCATATTTCAGCTTGGTTTTCTGATCCTGGCACTCCTGCACCAGTTTGAACCAAAGAATGTAATTAGTCTTCTGCAGCCCAGCAGCTGTTTGCGTGCAGGCTGGATCAGGGAAGAGCTGACCCTGTTGGGGTGGTCTGGCCTCCAAGTATTTCAGAGCTGCTGCCTGAACCGAGAATGTTCTTAGCCTTGCAATTTGTAATTGAGTTAGTGTGAAAGGCCACTTCCTGCACTGCATTTTTTTTTCCTGTTTTTCTTTTTTTTTGTGTGTGTGTATGTAAAGCTGCATCCAGAAGGTGTAAGGAAATGCTGGTATTGGGGGAGGCACCTCGTACCAATAGCTCCCCGTGGACTGAGGTCAGCCTTTGTGTGAGTATGGCTTTGTCATCCTTATGTAGGTACAGACCTAAAGCTACTTGGCCTTTCTCAGCTGGCAGGATGCAAAGCTCTTTTATGTCTTAGCAGTATACACAACTACACAACTTTTTCATTTCTATAGGACATAAGTAAAGGGGGAGAAGCATTGCCCAGCTAACACACGGCTGGTGATTCAGAAACCTTTGTCAAGGGATGCTCAAGTCGTACCAGCTCTGAAATGCAGCTGTGTCTCAGTGGTGAGAGTTGGAAATCAACTAATTCACTGTCTTCACGTAAATAGTCACTGTGCCTGATGCTACAGGATCCTTCAGGTAATGAGTTTCACCACATTTGGCTCTTTCATACTGGAAAATTGTTAACTGTTTGGTTAATCAGAGACTAAAGGTCTGATTCAGCCCGGTTAAGATTTAAATCTTCACCACTGTCTGCTTTAAAAGAAAGGTTAGGTAACTAAATAGTTTTTTCTGGAGTCAGCATCCCCAAGAGGGGAAGAAAACTGGCTGTAGTGAAAGAAGAGGCTGAGTTCTGCCTCTTGATTTCAGCTGGTTTGTCAGGGTGTAGTGGAAGAAGGAACTTGGTTGTAGCTGTAAACCATTCTCCCAATTCCATATTTTAGGGCGATGTGTGCTTGGTTCTGTCCTCTGCTACAGCGTGTGGTGTGATAACGTATTTTAAAAGTGCTTTTGTTGCAAACACATGTGTGCTTGGTTCTGTCCTCTGCTACAGCATGTGGTATGATAACAGAAGTGCTTTTGTTGCAAACGTGTCTGAAAAAGTATAGCTTCCCTACATGTAAATATATTC